CATACAGTTCAGAAGGTTCCTATTTTAAGGAAAGAACGTTCTTGCTTTGAAATATATCGGATACTGTTATAATCTGTCTTTCCTGCTTCAGGGTCTGAGGCAGTGGTGGGAACTCAAATCTCGTCATTATGATACAGTATTGTTCTTCAAGATGGGTAAATTTTATGAGCTGTTTCATATGGATGCTATGATTGGAGTCCAAGAACTTGGCTTACTTATGATGAAGGTAAGGAAGATTTGTAAAAAAAATAAAATAAAACAGAAATGATAAGAAGAATAAGAAAAACATGTTTTAGTTTGATTATAAAAAATACTGAGGTATGGGATAACATTTATATGAATATCAATATTCATATATTCAATGTTTTTTTATTATTATTATTATTATTATTATTATTATTATTATTATTATTACTACTATTGTTATTATTATTAATTTTAATGTTTTATCTCGAAGGGTGAAAAGGCACATTCAGGTTTTCCAGAAATTGCTTATGGAAGATATTCAGCCACTTTGATTGAGAAAGGTTACAAAGTTGCACGTATTGAACAAACTGAAACCCCAGACATGATGGAGAAAAGATGCAAAAACAGTAAGCAGATAAATTTTGTTAATTTTTTTTAGCATGGTAGACTGAATTTGAAATTTGTGAAAATAATAAATAAATAAGTAAATAAGATATATCCAGATGCCAGAATTGTTGTTGTTTTTTATAAAAGCATAGTAAAATTTATTCAGGTACATTGAAAAACTTCAAATTGATTATTATTTTAGTTACACTTGTATTGCAGGTTTTGTAAATTTACCAATATACCACTCCTAATCTTGTACTATATTTCACAGTGGGTCGTCCAACAAAGTTTTGACCGTGTTGTTAAACGTGAAGTATGCCAGATTAGTACAAGAGGAACTCGAGTTTACAGTGTTTTGGATGGAGAATCCTCAGAATCCTCAACAAATTATCTTCTAGCTATTTCAGAGAAGGTTTATTTATTTTATTTGCATCATAAGTTCTACCAAAATGTTTTGAAAACTTTAGGTATCAGTAAGTTAGTGTGTGGATGAAAGGGTTGGAACACTTGTTTGAAATAGAAATTGAATGAATATGTTAGCATACTTATCATAGGCTGGGAGATTTTGTAAGGCTTTAATCTTTTCATTTTAATCACAGACAAAAGCTGGGGCTGGTGATGTTCGTGAGTTTGGTGTAGCCTTATTGACACCAGCATTGGAACCTTCCACATTGGCCAGTTTTCAGATGACCGTCATGATTCACGGTTTAAGCACCCTGATGGCTCACTATCCACCAGCCCAGGTAAGTGAGCAAGAATTGATTGCTTTATGTCTGTAGAATATGTCCTCATCTAACATGTACCTTCTCATTTTTTTGTTAACTCTGTATGATTGCTCATGAATGAGGAATAATGATCACAAATGTATACTTTATTTTGATAATAGTACCAATATAATTGTTGAAATTCTAGAGCATAGTATCTTGCTGTGATCTTTCATTCTCATTCATATTTTTTAATTGTACACTGGCCTTTGCATGTTTAATGTGTGTACATATTCCCATGTTTAATAAGTTTAATTTTCCAGATTCTCTATGAACGAGGACGGACTATCACAGAAGACACAAAAACTTGTTACAATGTCGGTGCCAGCCAATTTGAGGGAAGCCCTGGTGCCTGAAAAAAGAATTTTGGACAGCTATGCAAAACACTAAATTTCTTAGCTGATGGCACATATTTCAAGGATGAGGAGGGAGGATCTTTGCAGTGGCCTAAAGAGATTCAGAAAATGTTAGATAAGAGTAAGTTTTCTTTTATTGCATTTCTTTCAGACAACTAACTAACATGTTTAATATGAACAACTCACACATTACACCATTATTGATTAATGAGCTGTTATACTTGGAACTAAATGCTAAGTGTATCTGCATCTCTGATTTGAAATGCTCTTGTTGTATGATCTGCTAGCATTCTATATCTTTCTTTTATTAATAATCCCTTTCTTCTTGAAAAGGTGATACCCTAGGAAAACCTCCATCTCCAGAATGGGAACTTGGGGTTGTCTGCCTTAGGTGCTCTTGTTTGGTACCTGATGGACTGTCGCTTAGAGGAGCAGTTGCTTACTAGGAAAAGCGTTTTGAAACTTACAGTCCCCTAGATGAAGCAGTATCAACCAAACAAGGGAAGAAAGAATCGTGTCTGCTTTTATTAGTGGGAGGCATACATGGTAAGTTGACTGTTTATTACTGGTTTCATAGAGAATAACATTGTTTATTTAGTTATTTCGAGCTGTTATTTTTAGCAGTCTTTAGTAATCAGGTAAAGTAAACTATTACTAGTTCCTTTATTGATGGTTATTTTTTATGATTTATAAAGGTCACTGGATGGCACAACCCTGCGTAATTGGAAGTGTTTGAGAATAACAGTGGTGCTTTGAAGGAACCCTCATTGAACAAGACTTGACAGATGCTCCACACCATTGGGCAAAAGGTAGGATCAGAATATATTCCGTTAATTTGCAGCAATGCTCATTTTAGATCCAATGTTGCTGCGGGTAATCACACTGCTCTATATTGCTGTTTTCATGAATTTTGTTTGACATAGATGGATACACAAGTGCTCAAAACCACAAAGGAGCCAATTAATGGGTCTATATGAAAATCCCCATGATTTCTCTTTCTTTGAGGTCTTGGGGAAAATACTCTTTTCTGGGCTTCAATATAGATATTATTTATTAATATTGACATTGTTGATTATGAGGATATACTAACAATAAATGAAAAATTGAAAGGAAAAAAAAAAATCAAGGAAAAGGAGCAGAAACAGGTGAGTAAGTAGATTAGAAATGAACCTCATTGGTTGAATAAGCACTTGTGGAGACAATGTGTATATATATAATAAAACAATCAAAAAGATATGGCACTATATTCTTGACATTCCAGCAAACATTGGGTTGAAAGGCTTATTTTTCAGAAACTCATGGTAATGTGCTCGTATGCTGGTAAGACAAATTACTTTACTAAGCAGACATGGGTCATCTTTAGCATTATTAATTATAGCCAGTGTTTCTTTCTCTGTGTATATCTTTTATAATCTCCCCCTCCTTTCTTAGCTTATTGATTCCTAAAAAAATATACATGACAAAGATTTCCCTTCACTGAATGTACACAAAGTCATATATGCCACAATTTTGGTAGGCCTGTCAAAAATTAGAGGAATTTTCCTGCAAATTTTTGTTTATGAATGGGGAGTAAAGTGTCCACATCTGGTATTGTTGGTGAGTTTCTTTGAGGCACACTGATGATAACACCCCCCGCACCCTCACTCAGTCTGTAGACCCACTTCTACCTGAGCAGTCACAATCATGTCTATGTATCATCTTGTGAATGAAATATAGTGAGTAGGAAGTTGGGAATTCTGGTGCTGTCATCTGTATTAGCACATTTCATTCGTCAATCCCAGGATTTGTTTTCCACACCTTCCTCCTCCATAATATTATTTATCACATACTTGTTATAGGATCATATTTTAATGTTTCTAGTGTAAGTGCTTATAAATGGATCTTTATTTATATTTACTTGCTTATATAAAATATATATATATTATATATATATATGTATATATATATATATAAATATATCTATAAATTATTATAATATATATATATGGCTTAGTGTGTTTTATAAGATATTATTGTGATCTCTTTCCCTATTTTCATTCCTTTATATATGAGTGGTAGCAGTGATAACTTTTCAACTTGAAAACCTCTAAACTGATACTCATTGGTAGTGGAAATATGACTACAAAATATAACTCTTTAAATGCCCGAAACCAAAATTTGCCATCGTGAAACTAGAAAAATCATACCTTTTTGTTCAGTTAGACAGGACAGGCTTTAGTTTAGTGGATTCTTAGGGATTGCACTTTACAGTAGAACCTTATCTAGTAAATAAATAAGACTGAATCAGTTATATTAAGAAATAGAAAAGTTTTGCATTGAGATTTGGAATCTTTCTTGGACAGACTACTACGCAATGGTTATGTGCCTCTTTGTGTGTCCCTCTAGCAAAATAGTCGTCTGATGCCATTGAAGACTTGCGAAATAACCAGAAGTTTTAGAAGAAATAAAACACCACAGGTTAAAGGGCTTGCCTGATTGGAGAGAATTTTTTTTTATCCAAGTTAAGTTTGATTATAGTAGGCTTTTGTTACAAGGTTAAGAATTGAGCAATACACTAAACATAAGAGTGAAATAAAAACACACACATTGTTAGAAATGGAACAAGAAATAGTCTCAACCCATTGGCAGGTTACAGGGCTGTGTCTGCTGGTAATTTTAGTTTATTAATTGTGTTATACAGAGGTAGTTTACTAATTTCCATTTAACATAGATGGCTACACAAGTACCAAGTCACCAGTAATAAGTGATGATAAGGACTACCGACCTCACCTGTTGACCCATTCCTTGATTTTGAAAATATGTTCTTGTTATCTTATATGTTAGTGATGTCAGTACACCACTATTAATAATTAATGTTAATAATAGTAAGAACATAAGTTGATATCATAAGGTAAACACACACCACACACACTTAAGGAAATTACCTTAGAAAAAAAACATATTGCTGCAATTCAAGGAAGGGTGGAATCAGGATGGTCACTTACAGATCTTCTAATTGAGTCCATGGTGGCGAGCAATTTTTGTGTGCAACAAAATTACAAAACAGTATTAAGTATCTTGCTGTCTGTCAATGTTTTATCTTGGTAAATCATGAGATTATTGACTGGACGCATTTACTTTCAATAAACAGACAAGTAAATGAGTAGATTCTGGAGATCAATAAATAGATTTAGACATATTTAACCCTTAATAAGTGATTGGAATAATAGATTATCTAATGTATTTTGGTCATGTCAACTGGGTGTGGATTTATTTTTTACTAGGATATAGGAATTTTGTGTGAAGAAGTTTGAAGATTAGGTACATTCACATTTATCTCCATTAAACTCAATGATATTATAGTTGTTGTAGTTAAACAGGCATTCTATTTATATATGTTAAGGATATTTGCCATACTCCATCAATACATTCCAAGGTCTGAAAATTTAGCAAGGAATCATCCAGATAGCCGGGCAATTTCTTTTGAAGACGAAAATACAACAGAGAAAGGTGGAAAGATTCCTGGCTGCTCTTAATGGATTTAAAGCAACTATACAAATCATGAAGGCTTTTGAAGGTAGGAATGTCAAATAATGTTTGATTCTTATTTCACTATGTTCCCTTTTTGTTTCTTCAAAATGCACTGCAAGGTGTGAAGGTCTGTAGTTCTTCATGGTGTAAAACGTAATATCCTGTATCTTTTATGTGTAAAAACAGTTATTGCAATCTCTCTGCAGTTCAGACATACTGAAAGAAATGTGTCAGTAGTACGAAAGATGGTGGAAAATTCACTGTGGCTGAAAAGAAGCTTTGGATTTCTTTGAAGTAAGTGCATATTTGCAATTATGCAGTAATAAGCATGTTATATATATATAAGAAAGATATTATTATTCATCGATATATGTTTATTAATAT